GATCTGGCTGCGCCGTCCTCCTGGCTTTACTGACACCTTCCCGCCCGGGACCAAGTGGAGCCTGAGACGACCAGTCTTCGGTCTCCGCCAGGCACCCCGTGAGTGGCACGACACTCTTCGTTTGACACTCTCTGACCTTGGCTTTGCACCGTCCACAGCTGACCCGTCGCTGTTTGTTCGTCGTGGGCCCAGACCTTTCTTTGTTCTTGTCTACGTCGACGACCTGGCCTTCGCCACTGCAGACAGGATTGCTCTGGCTAAGGTGAAGTCTGAACTGCAGAAGAGACACATGTGCACTGACCTTGGTGAACTGCGTCGCTACCTTGGCTTGCAGATCACCAGGGACAAAGCCGCTCGCACCATCACTCTGACTCAGTCACACATGGTGCAGCAGATCCTTCAGCGGTTCGGGCTTTAGCACTCCACTACACAGCCTACTCCTCTTTCTGTTGACCACAGGCTCACCGGCCCTTTCCCCGACGAGCCCTTTGAGCCCAGTGGTCCCTACGCAGAGCTGGTGGGCTGCCTCATGTACCTGATGACCTGTACTCGCCCGGACCTTGCCTTCCCTCTCAGCGTCCTTGCTCGCTTTGTTGCGACTGGGAGGCACCGCCCTGTTCACTAGAGGGCTGCTGTGAGGGTGGCAAAGTACCTGGCGACTACATCAGGCATGGGGCTTGTGCTTGGAGGGACACAGCCAGTTGTGCTCACTGGTCACTGCGACTCCTCTTACGCTGACGACGTCGAGACTCAGATGTCTACTCAGGGGTACTGTTTTAGCCTGGGCTCTGGTGCTGTGTCGTGGAGGTCGACTCGGTCCTCGTCTGTTGCGCAGTCTAACGATGAGGCCGAGATCTACGCCGGAGCCATGGCTGCACATGAGTTGCGCTGGTTGACTTTCTTACCCACCGACCTTGGTGAGCGGCCGAGCTCTACACCGAACTTGTTCGCTGGCAACAAGGTCATGATTCTCCTGTGTCGAGAGCCTCGATTGGGGAGCAGAGTGAAGCACATCGACGTCAGGTACTTTCTCCTTCGAGAGTTGCAGCGACGTGGACATGCACATTTGGAGTTCGTGGCCTCGGAGGCCAACACAGCAGACATTTTCACCAAGGCTCTTCCGCCTAGTGACCACCACAGGTTCTGTGTACTGTTAGGCCTTGTTGAGACGGGTTGTAGGGTGTTGTAGTCTCAGTTCTTGTCTCTTGCTTTGCCTATGCCTGTATCATATATATATGTGAACTCTTGAACTGGCCTTGTGGCCTTTTGCTTGTGCTTAGACTGTGTGGTGACTTTGTGATCCACCCTCAGCTTTGTGCTGTTGTGTTTCTTGGACCGGTCTTGTGACCTTGTGTGGCTACTGACGCTTGGCACCCCTCACTTAGTCTATGGGGGTGTGTCAAAATATGGTAGACTGTAGTGAGTTGTGCTACCGTCATCGCCCGGATATAAGACATATATGTCTTATCTCGTACACGGGCAAAAATGCTTGGGTTGTCTTGTATTTGGGACGGTTTAGGGTGTCATATAAGTCTTTTAAATGGACAAAGAACCGTTTAGAAGATACCCCCTAGTTATACAATTGCCCCTAACCCGTACACTGGCTTAACTCATACACTGTCTTCTATAAGAGACACCCGGATAATAGACACCCCCTGTCTTCTATTCAACACTGTCTTATATCCGGGTGATGACGGTATGTGGGGTACACTTGTTAGGGTTAGGTATTTGTACCCCAACACATTTCTATTCACACACCATTCCGCACGTAACTTTGAGACATCACTCTGACCTAGTCACACATGGTGCAGCAGGTCCTTCACTGGTTCGAGCTTCAGTTCTCCACAACACAACCCACTCCTCTTGCCATTGACCACAGACTCACTGCTCCTCTCCCTGACGAGCCTTTTGAGCCTAGTGGTCCCTACGCTGAGCTTGTTGGTTGCCTCATCTACCTGATGATCTGTACTCGTCCGGACCTCGCTTATCCTCTTAGCGTCTTGGCTCACTTTGTTGCGACTGGGAGACCATGTATTGTTCACTGGTGTATGCTTCGTCGTTAAGTCCGCAGTGGCCGGCCACAAGAAAATCGTTGTACACCTTGTGCAAATTCGGGTACAGTTTGGTGCCTGGGTCTAGCAGAGGGAAGGGTTGGTGAGTTAACACGGCTCCGGGGCAGACAATACAGGTGTGTAGCTGTGACATTGCTCCTTACTTCGGCGGTGATGCAGTTGTTGAAGGTCTGGCGCGAGGGATGTCCGAGTCGCTGGTGCCGGAGATCGTCCGTTGCGCGGACTCCAGTGGTGCGGAGATAACGCGCGCGCGCTTTGGCGGGTTCCGCTTCTCTTTCTTCCCCCTCTGTTTCTTCTTTAGTCGTCGTTGAAAGCATTAGCGAGAGGAAGGTGCGGTCAGGGATGACGGAGTGGAATGTTCGTTCTCGGAATGGTGCATGGAACAAGGTCAGGTTCATGTGGCTCGCGGTTGGGGCTGTAGTCGATCTTTCGTGTCTTTTTTTAACTGCAACTGCGCCTAAATCCAGGGTACCATGTCATCATTCAAGCGTTCCATATTATTCAAGGCTAGGATGCAATGCATACTACGCTACACTACACTACTAGTATGCATGAAGAGACATCCCACTACCTGCAGCAGTGACTGCTTCAGCGCAGGGATGCGGCACTGCACTGCTTAGACATGTCATACTGAAACAAGGACTGCAACGACATGCTGGTGTGGTGAGCAGCCAATAGCTCCACAAATCTGGAGAATTTCTATCACCAGAACTTGCTGTCTCTTCTCTTCAAGCCACTCATACTGTAACCCTCACATCCTCATATCCCCCTCAACTGCCTCGTCAGATCTTGGTATAAGTCGGGATGATCACCCGATCCACCCCATGGGCAATGAACCATCGCCCCACGTACAGCCCCGGGATGCGAATAGTGGTCCACTGGTCTGCCTTCAAGTACGGCCCTCTAGCAAACGACACAGCGCTGTTGTTTCCCATCGGCGTCATCTTAAAGAGCGGCTGCCTCAGCTGAGTGCCTATCGCCGTCCGCAGCTTCACCTGCCTCATCTGCGGGAGGGTCATTCGGCGGCGCAGGATGTGGAACGCCGTTATGTTGTACAGTGTGGGGACGCTGCTGCTCATAGCGGGGATTCTCTTAGCGAGGGCTTCTGCCTGCACGTTGTTGGGGATGAGGATGGACGCGTCTCGCAGCGCCGACAGGTCGTACCTCGAGTTCACTGCAGAGGACGAGGGGGGAAGGGGGAACGAGGTGGGAGAGAGGTGAGAAGGTCAGTGGGGCAGAGCCGACAGGTCGTACGCAGGGGCAGGGCGGGAGGGGAGGGGGGGGGGTGGGGGAGGGAATGGAGGGGGGTGGAGAGGGGTTGGAGAGGGGGAACGAACACAGAACGGGCACCCTCAATACAAAAACAAAAGGTAATTCAAAGTGCGTGGCCAACTAGCCGCTGGTGCAAGGTCTTACGTGCGAGGTTGATGTATTTGGTGGCGTCCTGCGCGTATCGCGAGTACTGAGGGTACCGCTTCACGATGCTCTTCGCCATGCTCTGCAGCTCCGCGCGCAGCTGCGCCTTCGTCGGCGGAGGCGGCTGAGCGCAGCTCGTCGGAGCGCACGCCGCCGCCACGCACATCACTGCCACCAGGAGCAAGCTGCCTCCGAGTCGCGCCGCCATCTCCGGAAATTTCTTCGAGTGTCGAACGCTTTTTCAGGTCTTCCGGAGGGTTGCTACGAGCTTCAGACACGTAACTGGGCCTTGCGGATGGTTTCGCCCTTGAGAGTTAAGGGTGTACACGCTGATCGTTGAGTGTGAGTTGCGGATCGTTGAGGATGATCCTGAGAACCTGAGCTGGATGGTATTATCGTCGTTGGATTAGTTCGTCTTGCTGATAGCTAGGTCGTCGTCGTATTAGGTTGCTGCTAAACGGTTGTGATGTATGTCGGTTCTAACCAAGCCGTATTTAATAGGTACATGAGAGGTGTCATGCTGGCCGGAGCGCTCCTGGCCGGATCGCTCCTGGCCAGATAGACCCTTCACAGCTCGCCCGTTCCATGTAACGCCCAAAGGGGCACACCGCGACGACGACTCGCCGCCATGGACACGCGAGGAAGCTCAGTCGCCGCCAGCAGCGGTGACATGCGGGGAACCGCTGCGCCATTGCCGCCATATAGCCGCCGTCCCACGCCGATTCGGCGCGGAACGGCTGGCTAGACAACGCGTCCGCGTATGGAGCGATGATGATAGGAAGAATCGCAAACCGTCCTTTTATTACATTTCATCCCATGAGAATAGTGACGTGCGATGTTAGCGGGTGTGAATGTTCCTGCTTGCCAGCATCACTAGTCGAGAGCATATGTGAAAGTTCCATTACTGCGGTAACGAAGGGTTTAAATACGTTCCAAAGCGTTATGAAAGGGTTAAGAAAGCTAACCCAGCGTCTTATCTTCGTGAGCCGATTGCGATGCTAGGATGACCCTTTGGTTGCGTTTGACGCGTGTGCGACTACGCCTGTGCGACTGTGCGTGTACGAGGATCCTGTGCGACGAAGCCTGTGCGGTTACGCGTGTACGACGACCCCTTGCGAAACAGTGATTCGGTGCCATGAGGTAGGGGGGATAGTTCGTCGGACAAATGATGTACCGTATGGAGGTACCGGGTGTACTCACAAGTTCATAGTGTTCCCTTTTATTTTCTTCCCATACCAAGTGCGCAGCAACATAGGGCATGTCATGCATTTTCTAATTAGCAACCACGGAAGGAGGATATCTATGCTATTTACTTGTGTATGGAACATTATGCAATTGTTGACGGTGTTTATTCAACATGCACTTTAGTGTAGTCGAACAATGACTACAATTTGGAATGTTCCTACGCATGCAATGGAATGTCGGAAAATTAGTAATATTGGGAACGTTTTACATTGTGAGTATCTAACAGCACGTGAAGTTGTTACAAACTAGTTCACATATGTATGTTGTTTAGTAATAATAACGTCTCCTGCCAAACTTGTGATACTTGGGCAGACCAAAGTCCGGGTAAGCTGGGGCAGCAGCAGGTGCAGCAGGTGGTGCAACAAGCGGAAGCGTTTTCTTCTTCTCCAGCATCATCTTGAACGTCTCCTCTGCCTCTACCTGCTTCCGAACGTCCGCTCCTGCTCCGAGCCTCGCCATCCGGTCCGGGTGATACCGAAGCAGCGCCTTCTTGAAAGATGCTTCAACCTGGCAAGCAGGAGGAGTGGGCAACAGGACAAGCAAGCAACGAGTCAGTTGAACGAGTCAGGTGGCAGTTTCTATAGCAACAATCACACGGTTCCACACGATTATCGAGCGAGGTATTGGGTGAAATATCATTAAAACGATCGAGGAAAGAGCAGTGCGAAAAAAAACCAAGTGTATCTCTCACCTGCTGAGTCGATGGTTGTGGCATGCCGTCCACTTTGATCCCGATTTTATCAAGGACTGACGCAAAGTCACGGCACCCTGCCAGGCGCTTGACAAGGTCAGCGTGGACTGACGCTCTCAGCTGGTCCTTGAGACCAGATGCCCGCTCCACCTGAGGAGAAAAAGAGGGGAAAGAAGAGAGGCAGGAGTGGAGCCAAAAAAGGAGAAGGAGCACTGAAGACACCCTGCCAGGCGCTTGGCAAGGTCAGCATGAACCGATTCTCTCAGCTGCTCCTTTAGACCAGATGCCCGCTCGACCTGAGGAGAAAAAGAGGGGCAGAAGAGAGGCAGGCGAAGAGGCAAGCATGGGAAGGAGCAGACACAACAGCCAGCCAGGTGCTGCAAAAGATCATTTTGCACCAATACTCTCAGCTGCTGCTCAATGCTTGCTCCGCTCTCATGAAGAGAGAAAGAGGGACGAGAAAGACTTAAGGGGTGCAGTGGCAGAAGTGGCATGGTAACCAGATAGAGGCAAGTGGAAAGTGGAAACACAGAGGGTCGGCAAGGTGATGAATGGGCAGGGTTATCCCTGATGTTTGACAAACCAAGGATGATGAAGAATGAAGGATGCCAAGCATCATGCAGAATGTAGACACTGCTTTTCGTAACCCCCCCACCCACCTGCTCCTGCTGCTGTCGAACCTCCTCCACCCGCTTCTGCTGCCGAGCCTGCATCCGTTCCAGCCTCTCACGTTCGGCACGCTCAGCCCTCCTCCTTCTCTTCTCAGCCTGAGCCTCCTCCGCCTGCTGCTGCAGCACCTTCTGTCGCTCCCTCCACTCCTCGTCCTCCATACTCTGAAACCCCTCACTCTGCCGCATCGCCTCTCTCCCCATCTCCACTGCTGCTCCTGCCAAGGTTGCACCTGTCATTGCTTCTTCTGTTGTTGCTGCTCCTGCGATTTCTCCTCCTGCCATTGTTGCTCCCACTGCCCCATTGTACCCCTCTTTCCTTCCCTCCTCTTCCCTCTCATATTTTCCTCCCCCTGCCTTCTCCTCTCTCTCCTCTTCTTCCTCCCCGCCTTCCCTCACTCCCCCCCACTTCGCATGACTCCCTCGTGCACCATCTCCTTTATCCCCTGCCTCAGCCTCCCTCCCTCTCTTCCCTATATTACGTTTCTCACCATTCAACCCATCACCCTTCATTCCAACATCTCTCCTTTGCTTCTTCAATGCTGTATGCCCTCCATCCGACCTTTCTTTTTGCTTTGAATTCCCCCCTTTGAACACCCTCTCCCCCCTCGACCTTTTCTCTCCACTCAAACTCCCCTGCCGTTGCCTCTCTTCCTCTGCTGCTCCTGCCGTTGTGTCTCTCTCTCTTTCCGCAGCCAGATTTAATGCTGCTGCTTCTTCAAACCCACTCCCATCTGCTGTTCCTGCCCCTCTTCTGTCCGCTGCTCCTGTCGTATCTGCAGCTTCTCCTGCTGCTGTCCTTCTCTCTCTTCCTACGGCGGCACCCGTGCTTGTGCCTGCTTTCCCTCCGCTCATCTCTCCTGCTGCGACTTCCGTTGACGTAGTTGCAGCTTTTGTCATTTGTGTTTCCCTAAGAACATTTCCTTCGGTCCTTCTGTCAGCCGTTTCTGCTGCTCCTGCTGCTGCGTCTACTCCTCCTGCTCCTCCTTCTCCTGCACCTCCTGTTGCTCTTTGTGATCCCCTAACTGCTGCTGCGTCTGCACCTGCCTCTCCCCTCTCACCTGCCAATATCCCCACTCCAAGGGTCCCTTCACCAGAAGCCCGCTGGGCTGCAGACGCTCTGACAACCCGAGCCTCGAAGCTCCCTTCTGACCCGCTGCTGGCTTTCCTACCTGCAACATCCCCACCACTCCCCTTACCTTCTACAGCACCCCCACCAATCCCAACGCCCCCACCAGGCCCACCATTCCTCCCACCTGCTGCAGCAGTGGACCGACAATCACTAGCCTCCCCCATGCTTGCCCTGGCCTTAGCAGTGGATGCGTCTGACTCATCGCCGCTTGAAGCTGAGTCACCGTGACTAGGATCCGAGTCATCAACATCAACTGCGTCGAACCTTCCATGCCCGCCCTTCCAAGCCCCAGGCCCTACTCCCCCTCCTTCCCGAACCCCATGCACTCTCTGCTCTGCTGTCTGCTCTGCTCTCTGCTCTGCTCTCTGCTCTGCTCTCTGCTCTGCTCTCTGCTCTGCTCTCTGCTCTGCTCTCTTCTCTGCTCTCTTCTCTGCTCTCTGTTCTGCTCTCTGCTCTGCTCTCTGCTCTGCTCTCTTCTCTGCTCTCTTCTCTGCTCTCTGCTCTGCTCTCTGCTCTGCTCTCTGCTCTGCTCTCTGCTCTGCTCTCTGCTCTGCTCTCTGCTCTGCTCTCTGCTCTGCTCTCTGCTCTGCTCTCTGCTCTGCTCTCTGCTCTGCTCTCTGCTCTGCTCTCTGCTCTGCTCTCTGCTCTGCTATCTGCTCTGATCTCTGCTCTGCTCTCTGCTCTGCTCTCTGCTCTGCTCTCTGCTCTGCTCTCTGCTCTGCTCTCTGCTCTGCTCTCTGCTCTGCTCTCTGCTCTGCTCTCTGCTCTGCTCCCATAGCTGTAGCTTTGACTCCATTACCCCCATTGACTCCCTTGACCCCTCTCACTCCCGTGAATTCCTTGACTCCTAACGAAGCAGCACCAAACGAAGCAGCACCAAACGAAGCACCTCCTAACAAGGCAGCACCAAACGAGGCAGCACCAAACGAGGCAATATCTGCGCTGCTGGTACTGCTAGCAGCGTGCTCGTCTTGACTGCTGCCCTCGTCGCTGCTAAGGCTCTCAGCTTCCACCCACTGTTGCTGCTGTTGCTGCTGCTGCTGCTGCTGCTGCTGCTGCTGCTGCTGCTGCTGCTGCTGCTGCTGCTGCTGCTGCTGGTAGTGCTGCTGCTGCTGCTGCTGCTGTTGGTTGTGCTGCTGCTGCTGCTTCTGGTAATGCTGCTGCTGCTGCTGCTGCCGTTGTTGTTGCTGCTGCAGTTGCTGCTGCCCCTGCGGTTGCTGCTGCTGCTGCTGCTGCTGCTGCTGCTGCTGCTGCTGCTGCTGCTGCTGCTGCTGCTGCTGCTGCTGCTGCTGCTGCTGCTGCTGCTGCCGCTGCAGCCCCTGCTGCTGTTGCTGCCCTTGCTGCTGCTGCTGCTGCTGCTGCTGCTGCTGCTGCTGCTGCTGCAGCCCCTCCTGCTGATGCCGTCGTTGCTGCTCCATGTGCCACTGCGCTTGGCGCTTGGCTTGCCTCGCCTTAGCAGCAGCCTCCCACACTCGCCTCATCTCCTCTGCTTCACCAACCACCAAATCCTCCTCCTCTTCCTTCTCTTCTTTCCCACCCGCACCCAGGACAGCAGCAGCACCTGCACCACCACCAGCACCAGCAGCACCAACAGCGGCATCAGCAGCACCATCACCAGCAGCAGCCTCCCACACTAGCCTCATCTCCTCCGCATTATCAACCACCAAATCCTCCTCCTCCTCTTCCTCCTCCCTCTCTTCCTCCTCCTCTTCCCCATACTCATCCTCTTCCTCCTCTTCTTCCCCACCCGCACCCGGTTTAACAGCAGCATCAGCAGCAGAACCGGCAGCAGCGGCACCAACTGTGGTAGCCCCAGCAGCTGCAGCAGCAGCACGCAGAGCAGCAGCGTTGGCAGCAGCAGCAGCCTCCCACATGCGCCTCATATCGTCTGCATCGCCACACACCAAGTCATCATCATCGTCCTCTGCTTCCTCTGCGGCAGCAGCAGGAGCAGCAGCATAAGCAGGAGGAGGAAGAGGAGGAGGAGAATCAGCAGCCTCCCACATACGCCTCATGTCGTCTGCATCGCCACACACCAAGTCATCATCATCATCCTCCTCTGCTTCCTCTGACTCCTCTGCAGCAGCAACAGCAGCAGTGGCAGCATCAGCATCAGTGGCAGCAAAAGCAACAACATCAGCATCAGCAGCAGCATTGAGATCAGCAGCCTTCCACATGCGTCTCATGTCCTCTGCATCACCACACACCAAGTCATCCTCTTCCTCCTCTGCTTCCTCTGCAACAGCAGCAGCAGCAGTGGCAGCAGCAGCATCAGCATCAGCAGCAGCAGTGGCAGCAGCAGCGTCAGCAGCAACATCACCAGCAGCATTAAGATCAGCAGCTTCCCACATGCATCTCATGTCATCTGCATCACCACACACCAAGTCATCATCTTCCTCCTCTGCTTCCTCTGCAGCAGCAGCAGAAGCAGCAACAGCAGAAGCAGAAGCTGCAGGATCAGCAGCAGCAGCAGCAGCAGAAGCAGGAGGAGGAGGAGGAGCATCAGCAGCCTCCCACATGCGTCTCGTGTTTTCTGCGTCAGCACACACCAAATCATCATCTAAACCATCGTCCTCCTCTCTCTGCTCTTCCTTCTCCTCCTCTGTTTCCTCTTCCTCCTTCTCCTTCCCCTCCTCTACCTTACCCCCTTCATCCTCGTTTTCCTCCTCCCTTTCTTCCTCCGCCTCCTCTTCCTGTTCCTCTGTCTCGTATTCCCCATCTACCCCCCCATACGCCATGGCAAGCAGAGAAGCAAAACAGGAATCCGCACCACTTGTGTCGTTTTCATCCCCACCAACGACATTAGTAGCACCTTCAATATTGTCATCCTCCATATTGTCACCACCATCGTTTGCACCCTCGCCACCTCCTTCCCGGAAGCTGCCTTCACCCTGGCCTTGTGCCGCTGGTCCCAGGAACGTTCTCACTCCTGTTCTCCTGCTTGCTACTAGGGACGCTGGAGCTGCAATATGTTCTCCTGTCGTTGCAGCGTCAGCAGTATATTTTTGAGCCACCTCACCAGTTGTCACTCCTGCCCCCCTGTTTGTCGTTAGGGACGCTGGAGCTGCTATATGTTCACCTGTCGTTGCAGCGTTGGCAGTAGGATCAGGAGCAACCCCAGAAGCATGATACGCAGCAGAACCAGCAGCAGCATAAGGAGCAGCAGCATCGACAACAACCTCAGGGGCAGCAGGATAAGCAACAGCATCGGGAGCAGCAGCACAAGCAGCAGCAGCAGCAGGATCAGCAGCAGCAGCATTCGCAGCAGAATCAGCAACAGCAGCAGAATCAATAGCAGGATCAGCAGCAGCAGGATTAGTAGCAGCATCAGCAGCAGCATCAGCAGCAGCATCAGCACTAGCATCAGCACTAGCATCAGCAGTAGCAGCAGTAGTGGTAGCAGCACGCAGGGCAGCAGACTCCCACATGCGCCTCATGTCCTCTGCATCGCCACAGACCAAATCAGACGCATCCTCTGCTCCCATGGCTTCCTCTGCTCTCTCTGATTTCTCTGCTTCTTCCTTTTCCTCTTCCTTCTCCTCCTCATTCTCCTTTTCCTTCTCCTCCTCTTTCTCCTCCTCTCCCTTCTCTTCCTCTTTCTCCTCCTCCATCTCCTCATCTCCGTCGTCCACCCCCCCATAAGCCATGGCCAGAGCAGCAGCTAAACAAGCAGCAGCACTCGTGTCTTTATCATTCTTATGCCGACTAACAAGATGGGCAACACCTTCGATATTGTCACGTTCAATACTGCCACCTCTCACGTTGTCCCCCTCCATATTGTCACCTTCATCAATTGCATCACTTTCACCCCCTTCTCTTCCCCCATCCCCTTCCCTCAACCCATTTGTCATTACCGGGGCTGCGGCCAGTACTGTTGGTGCTGTTGTAACTGTTGCTGCTGTAAGTGGTGCTGCTGTAACTGGCGCTGCTGTAACTGGTGCTGCTGTAACTGGTGCTGCTGTAACTGGTGCTGCTGTAACTGGTGCTGCTGTAACTGCTGCTGTAACTGGTGCTGTAACTGGTGCTGCTGTAACTGGTGCTGTAACTGGTCCTCCTTCTCCTCCTCCTTCTCCTCCACCTCCTCCTCCTCCTCCAATTGTTTCCACATCGTCTCCCCCCCCTGCTCCTGTTGCCTCTGTCCAATCAGCTTCATGCTCCTGGTGCTGCTTAAAGTCATCAAGAATCTGAGCAGCATCCGTCCATTCCTTGCCAGAAACCCCCTCGTTTCCACTCATATCAGCATCATTTCCCACCCCTGTCATCCTCTCCTCATTCTGCAACCCTTCGCAGCTCATTCCCAAATTCCAATCATTCTCGAACCTTCTAGAAGCCCAGGCACCCTTGTCTACGCTAGCTGCTCCATCCAAACAATCACGTCCGTCCATTTCACTGAATCTTAACCGCTCCCGCTCCTCTGCGTGAACCTGAAATCTCCCACCGAGCTCCTCTGCTAGAACTGAGATCCTGGCCGTTGGATCGGAACAGATTCCTCCTGCTAATTTGCCAGTCAGATTATCTGCACCCCTCTGTGCATCCCCTTGTCGATCCAGATTCACCTTCCTTTCAGCTGACTCGTCTGTTTCCGCCTCGTTATACGCACATCCCTCATGCTGCCTGAGAGCTGCTTCGCTATAAGCACCTTCGTTCTCGCGTGTAATTACTCCATCATGAGCTTCTGAAACAGCACGTCTGTCCCAACAATCATGCTGCACTGCTTCCTGAGAGCTTCGACCGTCTAAGCGACTGCTGCTTGCTGCTTCGGGCGAGCTTCGATCATCCAAGCATCTGTCGCGTGTTGTTGCTTGCACCAAGCTTCCAGGATCCAAGCGTCTGCTCCTTGCTACTGGCTGCGACGTTCGAGCATCCAAACCAGTCCCTAAACTACATCCTAAATGAGGTCCTACACTCGGTTCTAAACTAGGTCCTAAACCGGTCAGTATACTACCAGCTACAGTTGTAGGCTGACGAGCTGGATCTGTTTTTTGAGAATTCACAAAAGCCAGACGAGCTGGAACCTCTCGATTTGAAGTCTCTGGAACTGCAGTTGGACCGCCGAGTGCCGTGCGTGAGGTGCACACGCCGTGCGCGATGGCAGCAGTGACGGACGTGGTCGGCATACGTGTATTAAGATCGTCCTTACGTGTATTAGGATCACTGTCAAGCATCACAAGATCGTCATCATCATCGTCCCCTTCCTCTTCCACTTCATACTCCTCGTATCCCTCCTCCTCTTCCTCCTCCACTTCATCCTCGTCAATATCGTATTGTACTATAAGAGGGTTACAGTCGCGATTCCTGTCAGCGGGGCCGTTAGTCGCCGTCACTTCTTCGTCGAAGTCGTCGTCGCATACTATCACTTCCACCCCCTCGGGTATCCGAGACTTCACGGAGTCGCAAGCCATCAGTGCGAAAAACGAATCTGAATTTTCGAACTTTCACAGAAGAACAGGTGCGTCTTGTTAACTCGAATATTATATTAAATAAGTGCAGTAGCAACAAGCCTCGATGGCGCAGTCGGTAGCGCGTAGGTCTCATAGCAACCCGACTCCCACGCAAGGGACGGAGCCATCCTAAGGTCGTGAGTTCGATCCTCACTCGGGGCAGACGTTTTGCATCATTGAAGGATTCGTTGTGCGGCTCATCCATCTCCATCATTATGCACAGCAAGATCTAACCATTCCTTTTTGGCCTTCTAAATATAATGTTCGAAAAACAAGCAAATTGCGCAGATATCACCATAGGTTTTATTTTCATGTTTGCTAACCAGCAAACGCATGAGGTACCGTATGTTGTGAGGACATTGATATTGAACTTGGTATGCTGAAAGGATGAATAAGGTACACTCTGAATTGAGAGTACACCCTATACCTGCATCCACCAGCCCGCCTGACCTTCCCCGCACCTCGTAGCACCGAATGACTGGGTCGCAACGAAGTCGTCGCGTAATCGTACAACCTTTGTCGCACTGGCGTCGTCGCACACGCGTCAAACGGAACTGGGCTTCATCCCAGCCCAGCAATCGGCCCACGACACGAACCCTCGGAAGCATTCCCTTGCTCTGGAGACCCTACGTAACCGAAAACTGTAGCTTCAAAACGTTCTGGAACGTGTCTAAAACCTTTTGAACCGCAATCATGGAACTTTCACATGCACTCACAACCACCACTCCTGTTGTCTAGGAACATTCAGACACCTGCTCACACGCGTATTCTCATCTCTAAGATCTCGGGAAGATCACGTTGGTAGAATAAAAGGCGGTTCGCGTCTCTTCCTGTCAATGGCGCAGCGGTCTCCTCGCATATCGCAGCGGTCTCCTCGCATATCGCAGCGGTCTCCTCGCATATCGCCGCGGTTTCCTCGCATATCGCCGCGGCACGGCTGTTGGCGGCGACTCAGCTTCCTCGCGTGTTCGTGCAGCTTTGGGCGTTCCATGGACCGGGGGAACTGCGAGGGTCTATCTGGTCTGGAGCGATCCGGCCAGCATGCCATACCTCTCGTGTGCCTATTTATACAGCTTTGTTAGAACCAACATACATCACAACCCTTTAGCAGCAACCTAATACGACGACGACCTAGCTTTCAGCACAACGCACAAATACAACGACGACCTAGCTTTCAGCACAACGCACAAATACAACGACGACCTAGCTTTCAGCACAACGCACAAATACAACGACGACCTAGCTTTCAGCACAACGCACAAATACAACGACGATACTACCAGCTGTTAGAGCGCCTCATAAATTCTAACGCCAGCCCATACCATCCAGCTCAGGATCGTCCTCTTTAGTCTCTCACACTCAACGATCAGCGAGTACACCCCTAGCTCTCAGGGGCGAAACCATCCGCAAGGCCCAGTCGCGTGTCTGAAGCTCGTAGCAATTACCAGAGATGGCGGCGCGATTCGGAGGTGGCTTGCTATTCGTAGCAGTCATGTGCGTGGCAGCGGCGTGCGTTCCGACAAGCTGCGCGCAGCCTCCTCCGCCGACGAAGGCGCAGCTGCGATACGCGCAGGACGCCACCAAATACATCAACCTCGCACGTAAGGCCTTGGAGCAGCGACTACGTGGCCAGTTATTCTGAATCACCTGCCTTTTTTGGGGTGCTTTGGTAACAATGTTGCCTGTTCCGTGTTCGTTCCCTGGTGACTAGACCTAGCTGACCACATTCCCGCCTCCCACCGAAATTCTCCTTTTTGTTTCTGAAATCAATCACTGCTTTTTCCTTCTCCCCTTTTTCCCCCTTTCCATCCCCTCTTCAACCCCCTCCTTTCCCTTCCCCTCCCCCCACTCCCCCTTGCTTTTCCCCTGCAGTGAATTACAAGTACGACCTGTCGGCGCTGCGAGACGCGTCCATCCTCATCCCCAACAACGTGCAGGCAGACGCCCTCGCTAAGAGAAGCCCCGCTAAGAGCAGCAGCGTCCCCACACTGTACAACATAACGGCGTTCCACATCCTGCGCCGCCGAATGACCCTCCCGCAGATGAGGCAGGTGAAGCTGCGGACGGCAATAGGCACTCAGCTCAGGCAGCCGCTGTTCAAGATGACGCCGATGGGAAACAACAGCGCTGTGTCGTTTGCTAAAGGGCCGTACTTGAAGGCAGACCAGTGGACCACCATTCGCATCCCGGGGCTGTATGTGGGGCGATGGTTCATTGCCCATGGGGTGGATCGGGTGATCATCCCGACTCACACCAAGATATGATGAGGTAGTGTAGGAGGAAAGGAGGGAGGAGAGGTTTATGATTGGCTTGAAGGGAAGCCGTAGTCTTGGTGATCAAGAACTTCAGAGTAGTGTACAGAAAGGTTGGTTGCCCTTGAAGCAAGATCTTGACACAGTCTTGTCAAGCGTCATCCCAATGCAGTGCTACTTTGTTGGTGCCATGTAGTGAAACAAATACACCCTACTACCATTGATATATCAAAACAAAATGCACAAGTCTCTACTGGATTGCCACCTTACCTCACTACCATACGAGGACGCAACTAACTAATGAGTGTATACAGCACACTGTTACACTTGCAAATCCACTGTCCAAGGCATACCCATCAGCGACGGGGTGAGCGGGAACGACGAGGGGACCTGCTAACACTTCGGCTCCTGCTGCGGCTTCTGCTGGGAGTGCGGCTGCGACCGCGGCGAGGTGGTGAACGGCTGCAAACAAACACACACAATGCAGCACATTGCGTAGGGGGGTGAACAGAAGCACACCCACATGTGCGCATAAGCAATTTGGCTCCATCCTTAAAGCTTGCGTTGGACAAAGGTACACATGTCAGCATCTTAACACACACCTTCCGTAGCGCCCATATTCTGGGCTGCCCCTGCGCCTGCCGTAGTCAGGGCTGCCTCGGCGAGCAGGCCTGTCATCATCAAAGCTGTCCTCCCTGGCAGCAAATTCTACAGTAATTTGACGACCATCGACCGAGCTGCACCACAAGAATTGTGAAAGGTAAGTACGGTATTGGCAACAAAGTGCAGACCATGAGTATGAACCACATGGAGCAGCAATTGATTTCTGCAGGAATATGTTGATACATACCTTCCATCAGTTCCTTTAACTGCTGCTTCAGCCTCCTCAATCGTCTCATATTGCACAAACGCAAAGTTCTTGCGAATCTGGACCCGAACCAGTTTGCCATATGATTCGAAGTGCCTCTCCAAGTCGCGTGTTCGGGTATTAATGGGGTCAAAATTCACAACGAATAAAGTTTTTGAAGGCTTGGAGTTCCTGCGCTCTACCTCCCTTTGCTTCACTGGGCCTTCACCCTGTGAAGAAAAAACGACAACAGTCCATATTTAAACTTCTAGAAAAGTGAACAAAAAAAGACAACCGAAATTCAGGACCTTTATGCTCACCCTTGCCCATTCAACGCGAAGACGACGGCGCTGCCTACCGAACTCCATACCGTCTAAAGCCCGGATGGCATCATCACCGTCGCGCTCGTCATCCATGTAGACAAACGCGAAGCCTGCGTGACAGATACAAAAAAACAAGGAACAAAAACATTCGGCTGTTAGAAATTGCCGCGGATCGCAAAAAAAAAAAGATGCTGGAAGCAGTAAGCGAACCGAGGCGAGAAATTGCTGCGACAAATAATAATGTAGACGATACGCAAGAAACGAACACGTGGATATTTATAGCCAGCACGCACACCCGGTATAGGACAGATGTGCTAGTTGACCGTGTGAACGATGAAAGGCTCTGGCCATCTCTGTCCTCTGCCTAGGTTGGACTTTGAACGAGATGCCGGTTGTCATAACGAGTTGAGTTGAGCAAGCTTGCATTGGATGGACACGACGCATGATGCGTAGACGAGCAGCAGGATGCTGGCGCCATTGTTGTCTAGACTGGTCTTTGTCACCGGCTTGTGCAAGAGAGAGCGTGCATCCAGCGCGTGAAGAGCATCCAGAGCCGGAAGCTGAGATGGCTCATCACGTTGTACTTGCTGCGATGGCATGTGTCGAACGTCTCATGTTGTGTGTTCGCAAAATTATGTTGTCAGCAGGAACTGCTAACTGCTGCGAATAGGCAATGTCCAGACGCGTGTCCGGTTCGTTGTTCCCATGAACCTGCGATTTAACTCTGAATCTCAAAGAAACTCTTCCGTGAGTGGTGCTGAAAATGATATGAGAGCAGGAAATAGACGATCATACCAGTCTTCATGTCCACCCTTGAGATCCGACCGTAACGGTCGAACAGACGCTCGACCTCCGACTGCCGAGCCTCATACTCGAAGTTCCCGCAGTAAACAGCTCGAGACATGGTTCCCGGACCTCGCAAGTACCGTTTAAAAAAAAAATGCAAAAAAGAAGCACGGTGAGCAGTCACTGCTACAACGTTGCGTCTGAAGTGGAAGCCCTCTGATAAAAAATGCCGTGGAACTGTTTCTGGACTCCCAAGTTATAATCCCTGAAATTATCGTATCCTGATTGACTGACAATGACCCGTGCCGTTCACTCACAGCAGCAGATGCTGGGGTTTCTAGTTTTCGCTCTTGCCGGGTTGCTGCTGCTCTGCTTTGCTCTGCCAGCATTCCTGTTTCACTTCGAAATCGCTCTTGAGGAAGGACTCCGTTTCTTCTTGAAGTGGAACAGGTCAATCTGACACGAAGTGTGGGGCAGGCATCATCGCAGCCCGATTGACGATTGTCATGACGGAAATTGAGGGGTTGGAAAAGTGTTCCAACTTGTACCAAAGACGATTTGCGACACAAATATCGTCCTACAAATGATACTCATGATCCATGGTTTCTGACATACGTCCTTGAAGTAGCATTTCCACTCTAGCGGCAAACGAATCAAGCTTGTTTCGGATACGTTTTGAATCAACTCGAGAGAGCTCCTCCTCCTCCCAGCAACCCTACCGTCTCCACAACCATCACCACCACCATCCACCACTACCACTTCCGCCATTCCACGTCATTCAGCACCGCGATTTACGGCTACATCATCCGCTCGACTCGCAAATATTCGAGAGTACCGTGATCCGAGTTCTTTGCGATCGAGTGCATTGACTGCGCGCGATCGCTCTCCTTTCGCGATTCGACCTCGATTCTAACTAAGGCGTATTTTCTACCCGCGATCATGGCGGGAGGGCACGGCAACGGACACGGTATCACCCATGGCGGCCTGACGCTGCACCCCGCGGCGCGCTGGCATAAGGTCGTCGGTACCGGCATGTGCGCGATGATGTGGTACGGCTTAATCTCAGCTCTCGTTGTCTGGTAACCCTATCTGATAACCCCGTATGGTAACCATGTCTTGTAACCCTCTCTGGTCGTCGGCGCCGGCATGTGCGCGATGATGTGGTACGGTTGACCTCAGCGCTCCCAGTCTGGGAACTCTGGTTGTTATTCTTGTCCAATAACCATGTCTGGTGACCCGTACAGTAACCCTGTCTGGTAACCCTATACGGTAACCATTTCTGGTACCCCCGTCTGGTCGACAACACCGGCATGTGCTAAGTTGATGATCTACGATTCATGTCAGCACTCCCTGTTTGGTAACCATGTCTGGTAACCCTGTACGGTAACCGTTTCTGGTAATCCCGTCTGTTACCCCACTCCGTTTCCTCTAGCTGAATGCAATCACGAATATTTTCAGAAAATGACAACTCTACTTTCGTTGCACCTGCTGGACCTTATCCGGAATCCATGCAACAGAAACCTACTCTACACTCACAGCTGTACAAGCCATTATCCAGCATACAGTCTTGATGCTACATGTATGTCACCGCTGTTTGTGCCATTATCCAGGTTCTGGATTCTCTACCGCGCCAAGGAGGATGGCCAGTAGACGTTTGAGTCGAATGAAAAAATACTGTCGTCCCATGTGTGTGTCTCTGCCGTTTGTGCAGGTTCTGGATTCTCTACCGCGCCAAGGAGGACGGGCCAGTTGTGTTGGTAAGCCGAGCCCTCCCCCCTCCCCCCTCCCGACCTACCCCACTCCCACCCTCCGAACTATCCGGAGGCTTTCGTTTGATCCTGTTACCAAGTCAACCCCCTCTCCTCCATCGCTTCATGCCCCATGCCTTTCGTCCATCTTTGTAACAGATTGTTGCATGGGTTTATTCAACCTTTTGTGTATAAAATTCCAATCTGTTCGCAGGGCTGGCGCCACCCGTGGGAGGGTCATGGGCACGGACATGGGCACGGTCATGGGCATGGGCATGCCGAGGCACATGGGGAGGGACATGTTCTCGCAGTAGCAGCAGCAGTGGCAAGTGGATCTAGCTCTGCTGCCAGCCATGTGAGTTGATGGCATGCTCTTGAGACATCTAAATATGGTCATGGGCACGGATATGGATATGGGCATGGGCTTGGGCGTGTTCATGGGCATGGGCATGGGCATGGTCATGCTGAGGTACATGGGGAGGGGCACAGAGAGGGGCATGCCCCCGCAGCAGCAGCAGCATCAACTGGATCCAGCTCTGCTGCCAGCCATGTCAGTGTTGCGATGTCTCAAAAATTGGTCATGGACATCACGCGGAGAGACAACAGCAGAAGCGGCTTGGAGTAGCTCTGCTGCCGGCCAAGTGAGTTTATTGCACGCTTGCTCACACCTCTCCCATGTGTGCTCACATCTAGGGTTGTTTCTATTAGATTAAATAGTCCGACTAGTCTGAGATTTCAGACATGTTGAGCATGAGTCTCTGATTTTTCAGAATAGTCAATTTGTGAACACTGATTCAATCAGAGTATACAGGGATGAACCTTTGTATACTCTGATTGAACCAGTGTTCACAAATTGACTATTCAAAAAAATCAAGAACTCATGCTCAACATGTCTGAAATCTCAGACTGATTAGACTATTTAGTCTGATAAAAACAGCCCTTGTTGTATGTAAATCTCCTACAAGCAGGAGCCGCGTGAATGATTTCCTGAAGCTTTTGTTTCCCACGTGTGTTGCTTTCCTTGGTGTTCAACCCTGGTGTATTCATTGCTTCATCATTTCTGAATCCCTCTACCACTTCCCCACCCTTTTGCGGCACACCCGTTTCCAGTAAACTCACTCATGCGTTCTGGGGGCAGACATGTGCCGTCAACGGATATTGTTTTAGATTGCATCGCTCAGCTCTTCCTGTACTGGGTAACTGTACTGTACTGAGATTCCTTTATAAAGAAATGAAGGTTTCTTCTGAATGCTTTAATATAACTAGAGTAAACCCTGAAAGGCGGCCAAAGGCTAGAATCTATTGCCGAGCTGCTTGCAAATTTGGGAACAGAAAGCTTGTTGAGAAGATTGGCAGAGATAATTCACATGTTTAGCGGGCAGATTATGCCCTCTGTTTGAAGCCATACTTTTTCCTTTCGTAAAACAAGTCTGTTCTAGCACTACCTAAGTTAATGATCTTAGGACACCCATCTCGATCCTTCTCTTGCTGCGTGCACTCCTTGCAGTAATACGCGTCGGATATGCCCTGCCCTCCACAAATCACACACCGACCCTGAATCAAGCAAGGGAGAGAGGGGCGGGGGTATAGGGGAAAGTGAGGTGGATTGTTCTCCTTGCAGTAACATGTGTTGACCCTGCCTTCCACATGTCACACAACGACACTGAAAAAACAAGGGAGAGGAAGGAGAGATGGGCAGGTATGGGACGGGTTGGGATAGAGGAGAGGATAAGAGGAAGGGTGAAGTCGCTTAACTGGGTGCACTCCATGCAGTAAGGGAGACACAGGGAGGGATGGAAGGGGAGGGAGATGGACGGAAGCAGGAGGGCGAAAAGGGAGAGGGAATAACGAAATAGAATTTAAGGACACCCGTCTTGATCCTCCTCTTGCTGGTGATATGCGTCTGATATGCCCTGCTCTCTCACATCCCAGTAGGGGTTGGGAGAGGAAGCGAAGTAAAAAAGAGGTGGGTGGGAGGAGGTGGGAGAACAGTGAGGGAGCAAGAGGGTGGGCCAAAAGGGAGAGAGTGGAGAGTGAGGACTGGGAATGCTGCAGTCATCTGCGTCTTTGTTTGTTTAGGATAAAGAATGCCAGAAACGTCTCTTATGAATGCAACACCACTTTCCTCACAAAATGGACTGTAGTTACGCATATAAGAGATACAAAAGAAGAGATACAACTTTCCTCACAAAATGGACTGTAGTTACGAATATAACCTGTACGCTAAAATTAGTACCAACGAACACCAGCAAAGCACATGACATCCTTGGATAGGACAATAAATATCAGAAGATGCATTTGAGTGGAATCAGGGAAGAGTTGGCTCACCTGATAAGACCCATAATTGCACTCGTCGCATATCCGCACAAGCGTGCAAGGTCGCACGTAGGAGTCGCACACGACGCACTTTCCGTCGCATTTTTCGCACAGGCGACCGATGGCGATTCCCGGCTGCTTACGACACATGATCAAATCCGGATGATGCTTCGCCATGGCTTCCGCGTGCGACTACCCTGTCAGTGTGACTAGGTCCCCTAACTCCTTGAGAATGTGACAAGGAGAAGAATGTGACAAAGAGGGGAAAGTAGCACAGCTTCCGCCGGTAGTCAACCACTTCAGTTGACGGCTTTTCGTATTGTTCCTGTTAATAACTGATTCTGGCCCGCTTCGTACAGCCTATTCCTTGATGACGGACCTGTCCCCGATAGAAGCTGAACGCAGGGAAATAGAGCAGCGCTACCTGCTGACCACGTTTGCAGGCAGACGGCTGACAAGGTCGTACTAGAATGAAAAACAACTATAACCCTGCTAGGACAGTATTCAATGAAAAACAACCGTGTGAAGAACGGCGACCAACGAGGAGCGGAGAGCCGAGATCGCTAGACCAGACCCGATGCGTTGAAATTGCGATCTCAGGTGCTAACTAAGTGAGCACTCAGTCCAGCAATGAGCAGGTTTTACCAGAGTGATGAAGAGGCTAGGGATTTCTACAAGGTTGAATCTATGCGAACCGGCACTAACTAACAATGCTGCGAGTGTACCGCACACAACCTTGAGAACTCCAGAACCTCATCTCCTCTAACGGAACTCATGGTGGATATGAAGCTGATCAGGAGGATCGGGTGTACTATAACTTGCAGTTCTCTATGAAAGGGACATGGGGAAAAGCATGCCATGATCGTAGTCAAGCAGAATCGGGGGCCTAAACGAGCTGCAGATCGTTTGATTGCATGCAGCGCTTATATTTCTTCATATGTCCTTTTCCATTTTAGCATATCCCTCAACACTTCTTTTATTCCTAACTCTACCCTTGAATATCCAAACGCCCTTTTCTCATCTGAACACACATAACTTTCTCATTCATTGTCAA